AAAAAACCCCAATCAAGTGTGTCAAAGCGCTCGTTTAAATAAAACGGCTGAAAAATGTAACGCAGGTCAATGCAGTTTGGTTGCAGTTGAGGAAAACCCTGTTTGTTGTGCGCGGCGTTGATAAATGAAGCAGGTGATGGATGATACTGAGTCAAACTAACTCTGGAACGTTTAGGAACGGAAGATTGAGTAAAGCTTCATTACAGGACGGGAAAATATGCATCAGGTCACGGTAAAAACACACAATTTTTCCAACTTTCACCCTTTTAAGGGTGAAAAACGAGCGCTACGCACCATGCAGAGGAGCACAGCAGCTGTTTTCATTGTGTAACAGTGAATTTGGGGCCCATGACCTCCATAAAGGGTCACAAAATAAATCTGCATTATTAACTGATGAGGGAACCTTGAAAAAAGTGCATATTTATGTATTTATTTTAGATGAATTCTGCGTCTTTTCTTCTAACTTTCTCAGTCTTTTTGTTGTTAAACTGTTTGTGGAAGCAGTGAGGCAGCGTTGTGCTCAGCAGGAGTCACACAAACGGCACCACAATCCGTCTGTTTATTATTTAGTGGTTAATTATTGACTGTCTAACCGGCTGTTTGCTCTCCAAGATGTTTCACAGCTTTGCCGGAAGATTAACCCTCACCCTCACCGCTGTTTTATTCTCTATCATCCACGACTTTGTCCATCATCTTTTCCCCCATTTTGACTCAACATCATTGCTTTCTGAGTTCAGAGGGAGCCCCGGCAGAACCAACGGTGCCTTTGTAGTTTCAATAGGTGCGACTGTTTGTTGAGTTCAGTGAATAAAAACTCCTGCCTATAACTGACATGCAGTCGCAGCATGATCAGGACATGGCGTTTGCGTGGAAACGGCACAAATGTAAGCGTTTGTGAGGCTGCGGAGGGAGGTGGTGAGAAGGAGGGTTACGCAAACTGGCTGTGTGATGAACGTACAGGTAGCGGGTTGTGTTTTGTAAAGCAACAGTGGCAAGAAGATCAAGATGACTGGTGAACGTTTGAAGTAAAAACAAAATGGTAATCAAAGATGGTAAATGAGCTTTAAAGCACTGGTGTGGATTGTGGTTGGGATAAAAGCCATGATGTGCAGTGAAGTGTCTGTTTTGATGTCCCACGAGGTGCAGGTTCACTCTAATGTTTGCTTCTCGTGTGTTAAACATGTTGAAGCTTTTTATGGCCTACTGATGAGCATCCAGCCGGCTGCCCTTTACTGCCGTCACATGAGCCGGAGCAGCTGATCTGTGGGTCAGCAGTCGGATAAGATGTGGTTAACCGCCGCAAGACGGGCGGAAGAGGAGGAGCGTGATGAGTACAGAAGAGTAGCAGCAGCGATGTGGAGTTTGATTTCTGGGAATTTGTTGTTGCTGGTGCACAAGCTGCAGTCACACGTGCAGCGCCGGCTCTGCTGCAAGTCCTGACGCCTCGGTTCACTGAGTTCATTGTGTTTAGCAGTCTGGAGCAGCGGATTCAGTCTCTCTCACCAAATCCTACTCAATACAAAAGAGTGTGATTAATTAGTGCGGCCGGCAGCTATAAAGGGTCCAAATAAGTTGTCATCGCCGGTCCCGAGGGTGTCTCTCTTTGGTGTAATTCGAAACAGATCACGGTGCCATTTCGCTCGCTCAGACCTGCAGTTATGTGCCCACATATATTTATTGCCATCCAGAACTCAAGGGGCCAAACTTAATTTGTGGGTGGCGGTGGCAACACCAGCAATTCTGTCTGTGATTGAAGAAGCAATCAGTGGTGTTGCTGCAGCTCAGTCCTTTAATATTCTGATCAGCCTCAGTCTTCACAGAGAGATCTCCCCGTTGCCATCATCTAATAGCAGCACCGAGCGGAGAGCAGCAAAGTGTGCTCATTACTTTTAGGGAGCCTGACGGCTGCGAGGTAAAATAGGAACCCCCTACTGGATCTGTGAAGAACTGTTGTGCTTCCCCCCATAATAAACCAGCCACAGCAACAGTTCGGCGATCAATATCCCAGCGTGCACGCTCAAAAGGCTACCACGGGCATCATTTACTAAACTCTGTGCGGAGGCTTGTGTTCGTGTTGCTTATTTACAGCAAACACCCAGAGATGCACATTTGTTCTAAATTGATCCTTTTAGTCACCTGAGATAAAATCAAAACAGCTTCCTGAACCGCACAAACTAATCATTTGGTAAGTCACGGATTCTTTTCACTGATGGCCACAGCAGAGACGGCCGGTCGCTCCATCCATCAGGATTAGTGAGAGTGGCCCTTTAATGAGGACAGGCAGCATGTCGGAGCAGAAATGAAATATTTAAAAAAAAACAACAACAACAACAGCAGCTCGGTGAAAAACTGTGAAAATACACTAAAATGTTTTGTTGTTCTTAGCCTTTAAGTAAGTGCTGATTAAAATCAAAAATGCCGTCGCAGGAACACTGATCACATCTTAATTAATGCACTAATTAGCAACACAGATGTAACCGCTGTCATAATATTTATAATCACACGAACACAGAGTTAAAACCAATTATCACACGGTGCTGTTGTAACACCAACACAACAAAAATCCATCAATACCACAATTGTATATTTGACATGATTCATTTAGTTCTTATTGATGATGCTACTTGTATGTTTGGAAAATTCAATATTATTTGAATATTTCTCAAAAATAAATAAGAAATTCACAAGCACACAAATATATATCTTAGTTTATTTATCAATCTTATTTTAGAGTTAATCACAGAAGACATTTTTACTTAGAGTGTAAATTACACTTATTTTATATTTTCTTAGTGTTTATTTTTTACATTTTGGTTCATCATGTTGGTTTTTTTTCTGCTTCTTGCACATTAATTACACGACGTGGCATTATTGCTGAGAGCATCTTCATTTTTAGACGTACATTATGTGTAGATGCAGTTTCCCAACAAACTGCCATAAATATGATATTCTTCAAAAAAGAAAAAAACAAAAAACACTGAACAACCTCCTCTCACACACACATGTCCAACAGCAGATGGCAGCAGCGACGTTCACGGGCCTCCAGCAGAGTCCGGCATCCACAGAGGAAGAAGCAGGAGGTGTGTTTTACAAAAAAGGGTGTGTTCCTGCAGCTGAGGCAACTTCAGGACACAGCTTCATATGTTGAGAGCTGACTTTCCTGACAGTCAAATGAGACTCGCTGCTCTTTCAGGTCTGTATTTGTCTGCAGAACTTGGCCAGGTGTGTAGCTGAGGTGGGAGCCGGGAGGCAGTCTGTCTTTATTAGAGTCACTGAGTGGATCTGTGTTCTGCCTTTTTGTTTTTTTTGTTACAGTAGGATTGAAATGAAGATGTACACCAGGAAGCTGTTGCAGTAACTCTGTGGTGGGATTCTACTGGTTTGTTTGACTCTGGTTCTGCTGGTGTTCTGGTGCTCAGGCAGGTCAGAGTGTGGAGATGCAGCCCAGCAGCACAGAAACTCAGCTCCGGCAGCTGTGGGGCCGATGGATGAGCCTGCTGAGCCGCCTCCAGGACGATCCCAAGGTGGGCCGGCGCCTCCGTCACAAACCATCCGTCTCTTTTACTCTGTCGTCAGCTCTGCTTCTGTCTCTTCCACAGGTGGCTCTGGTGCTGGACAGCAGGTTGGGTCAGTACCTCAGCAAACACCCTTTCTTAGCGGTCACACTGGTGCTGTTCGTCGCCATGGCAGCAGTTCCTGTCGGGCTCTTCCTGACCTTCGCCGTGGTGACCCTCACCATGTCGGTCGTGGGCTTTGTTTTCTTGGAAGGTAGGCGAGCTGAAGTCAGCGCCGACCTCTGCATCGTCTTTTTTTCTGCTGCGACAGACGTGTTGTCTCTCCGCCAGGGTTCCTGCTGTTCGTGGCGGCGGTCACTCTGCTGTGCGTCCTGTCCGGCGTCGCCTTCTTCTCCGTCCTGGTGTCCGTCATCACCAACACTCTGCTCGTCACCGTCTCCGGCCTCCTGAACCTTTATGACCCCAGTCTGACTCAGGTACCGTGCCGACGGACCAGAATGAGCTGCAAAGATCTGTGGCTTCGCTAGATTTTATTTATTTATTACTCTTCTTGTGGTTTATTTTATTTATTGGCCTCTCTATTGATTCACCCGTTTGCACATTTTAGTCTGTTTAATTTGCACTTTATGAGCTCATTTGAATCATTCTGCTTATGGACAGTGTTTAACAGGTTTACTGGACCTCCACCCAGTGTCAGGCTCAGCTGCCCTAAATTAACAGAACTAGTATTTACCAAAATCATTTTTATGTTTCTGTAATAGATAATACACCAGAAGCTCTTTCACCTAAATGATATTTTTAACAGTAAAATGTAATTATTGTTATCTATGAGTGAAGAAAAGAAAAAGTAATGATTATTATTTCTTGATTAAGACGTCAGATTATAGTTCTTTACTTGCATTCCTGAACAGAAAAATCTGTTTTAGTGGTTGAATGTTATGATGTAATAATAGATGTTTTGTTTTGTTTCACCTGCATGTCTTCTACTGGATGCTGTTTCCTCACTTCTTCAGTCCCTGTGTTAAGAGTCCTTCATTGATAACTAGACTGTTTTAGTGCATTTTCCGTTCTGTCACCTGTAAAGATTTCATTTGTGTGACTGATGAAGGCCTCGAGCAGCTCATCAGGCAGCGTTACATCTTCACATATTTAAAGCTGCATCCGACGCCTGCGTTCGTCAATATCAGTAAAAGTGTCGAGAGTCGAAATGAACATGTTTTTACATTCGTTTTCTTCCCAGCGGAGATTTCAGGGGAAGGAGGGCCAGACTTCAGCAGAGAAGGAGGAGCAGTAGCCTGAGGACACCTGAAGCTGGGCTGGTTGGGTCGGAGGATGCTGAACGTCCCGGATGTTCCTAAACTCTGCTGCTGTAACAGATTTTATAAGCACAAAAAACTCCCTCACGGCTACTGTTTGACTGAAGTGTCGTGATCTTATCATTATCTACGTATCTGTAGCACAAGAAGTAAACATCTCCAAAGCGTGGAACAACTAATCTTTCACCAAATGCAGAAGACTTCTAAACGGTGCCTCATTTCACCAACAAGGCGACGGAGACGCTGTGGACGTTAGGCGCTGCTCCAGAGCGGGCTGTGAAAAGAGCCTCTCATGTGTTTGCAGCTATTGGATGCTCATGAAAACACACTGGAGTGACTGTTATGTGTTTGTGTTTGCTGTTACATGAAAAGAGCAGAGCGTTGTACGTATGTAAAACCTGCAGCTTTGAATAAACGCTCATCAGAAGCAACATGTAGTGTCTGGTCCTCTGCTTTAACAGAGACGGGTCGTCTCCTGGGAGTTATACATTATCAACAGTCCCTTAATGCAGCAGGTTGTACGGCACACAATATTTAATGATGTTTGCTCGCATGCTTTAATGACTACGACTGTCTCCACATGAGAAATGCTCCACATGTTGAGAATCTACACGTGACTTTGGGAAATAAAGGTTGAATTGAGTCTTTGTTTTCGTTGCAAGTAGCCAGAATTCATCTTTCTGTGTTTCTGAACCTGATTTTAGAATCAATGTTGGATGTGAAATGTATCGTTGAAACCAGAAGTTTACATCCAC